AATTGGACGGTAGTTTTCAACGTTGGAGATGTCACCTTTTTTATGGATAGGGATGATGTTCGCGAGCTTCCATTCCTCTGGTAAGGAGCCATGTCGGAGTGATTGATTAAACAGTAGATATAATGAGGGAGCAATTTGGTGAGCACATTCCTTTAGTATTCTTGGTGGTATTTCATCCGGACCTGTGGCTTTGTTGGTATCGAGGCTGAGGAGTGCAGCTAGAACATCATCAGGAGAAAGAATTAACTCTGACAAGTTGCTATCAGTTGGCGAGGATGGATTGTCCGTTTGAGCTGTTTTGTCGCTCCCAGACACAATGGAGGAGAAGTGGTCGTTGAACAGTTCTGCTATGTCGCGAGGACATGAAGCTGAGCGGGCCGAGTCAGGATCTAATCCATTTGATCCCATTGTCATTGATCTTGGAACACTGGCACGTTTACTGTTGATTTTGAAGACAGACCAGAATCTTTTGGGATTATTGAAGAGGGCTTCGCTGATGTTCTGGAAGAACTGACAACGACTTTCAGTGATCAATCGTTTCACCTTGGATCGTAAAGCCTTGAACTTGTTTTTCAGTACGTCCGTTGGCGATGTTTTCAGTTTCCGACGCAAGGTCTCGTTTTTCCTGATAGCGTGGATTATCTCACCGTTGATCCAAGGCGGATTATTGACGTTGCTGATGGTTTTTATCGGAATACTGTCGCATACAACACTGAGAAAAAGTTCTTTCCATTTCAACCAACTGTGGTTAATGTCCACTGCTGACTCGACTGCACCGCAAAAGGTCAACCGACTCTAGAGTTGCACGAAGTCCGTCGAAGTTCCCTCGGTTATAATCAAAGACAGATCGTTTAATTTTCGGACGTGCTTTGAACGTTGTCGCAATGTCGAACGTGATTGCTGAGTGGTCGGTTATTAAACCGCTCTGGCTAGGACTGAGTACAGACATATTTTGAACGTTTTCCGGCAGCAACACTGCTGATGACGAGATCGAGGATGTGGGCGTCGCCTCTTGTTGGAACTCGGTTTACTTGTGTTAGGTAGTGATCATTCAGAATTTCTGTGAACTGGACTTCGTCTTCGCCGGCTGTTAACTCTGGCGATTCCCAACAGATCTTCGGGAAGTTGAAGTCACCGCATATCAGTTTTTGGCCTAATCTGAACACTTATTAGCCAAAAAGAGTTAGAACTCGTCCGACCATTTCCTGTTCATAGTCTGCGGGGGCTTGTACGTACATCATGCCAGGTATTTCCTGTTGCAGGTAGATATTAATTCTATTGCAACTAGTTCTAGATCGCTATCAGTAACAATCTCGCGAGATGACAAAAAGGAGCTAGACTTTAGTGCAAGAAGAACTCCACCAGCACGAGTTTTACCATCTTTACGGTAGATAGTATAATCACTCCAGGATAAAGATGGATAAGAAATAATATATTTAATATATTTATATATTTAATATATATTTTTATTTATTTAATATATTTATATATTTATATATTTATATATTTATATATTCATATATTTATATATTTATATATTTATTTATTTATTTATTTATTTTTATATTTATATATACTTTTTTATTTTATTTTTATGTATATTTAATATATTTAGCTTAATGGATCATAACAATCAACCTCAATGTTACACTTGAACATTATTTTAATCAAGTATTTGATATTGGTAATTATAAATATCAATATTTATCTGTCTTAGTTTTTATATTATTTTTATGCGAATTTTTATATTGTCATAATGCGAATTCTAATTTTTATTCGAAATGCTTGCAACATATACGCAGTGCGTACCTATTTTTTATCTTTTAAGAGGGCTGTCTTGTAACAAAGCATGTGGTCTTTCCAGTAAAATTCTTAAATTTAATAGCATCACCAGTTATTTCTGCTACACTTACATATATTTTTTATTAAAGTATTACTCTTTGCAGCTTTCCAGATGAATGGAAAGTAGCTAGAGTTTTAACTTTTTATACTGTAAAGGTGGTCACCGTAGTATATTCCAGGTAATTACAGCCCAATATCTATACTACCAGTCATAAGCAAAATCATGGAAAGACAGCTGTATGGATAAGTAACTAAAAACGAAATCCTTTCTATACCCAGTTTGGCTACATCCTTTTAAATTCAACAAATCGTTTGTACGTTAACATGGATCGAAAAAGGTTTAAGGCCGCTCGATATAGTTATCACAAACACCTAGCTGCTCACGAATCGCGAACAAAACCAGGTGACCATTTTTACGCGCAGGTCACGGAAACTGATTAACGAAATGATTCCAAAATGACCTGATGTGAGCAGTTGCTCACGGCATCTCACGTCGTTGCGCGTCATTCATTTTAGAAAAACATTGAGCTATATCTCTATTTTGTCTGGTGACCTATGTTCAAAGTTTGCATGCTATATTGCACCGCTAAATTAAAGAACTTTAATCGGTCTGCTTTTATCTCGGATCTCAAGAATGTACCATGGGACGGTTCCTACGTGTATGATCATGTAGATGATGAGTATGATGTCTGGCTTCACTGGTCATCATTGTTCAAGCAAGTGCTTGATAATCATGCTCCAGTGAAACAGGTCCCACTGAAAAGTAATCAACTACCCTGGATTGATGCAGATATCCAAAACCAAATTCGACTATAAGAGACCATTTATACAGGAAGAAAGAAAAGCAGTCAAGCAATTTTTTTTAGAAGTAACTTCAACGCCGAATTGGTCAACCGGTTTATTTTGGGAAAAAATGAAACCACTTTTACCAACCAATAAATCTAGTAATGACGGAACGACAATACAACTTATTGAGAATGGGGTTAATGATTCGAGATCCTAGCTCAGTATTCAATAACTGTTTAACGACCCTGTCTGTTGAAGAAGCAATCTTAATAAACTTGACTGAACAAGATTTTGAGAATCATGTTAGTGTACGGGCAATCAAGGAACAACGTTATGATTTGTATTTCTCATTCCAGCAAATTAACGTAGAGCTCGTTAGCAACCTACTGTTAAACTTGAACGAAAACAACGCTAGTGGGCCTGGCGGTTATCAACCAAAGTTACTTAAGAGAACTTGTCTGTAAAAACCGCAATAATTCGCCATTCTCTGGCAGATATGAAAAACTGAAAGTTCTTCAATTTCCCTCGATTTTATATATATTGTAGACCTATCCAACCCCACATATTTACTGAAGTTTCAGCCACGAAACACAAAACGAAGAAAAGTTAGAGTACTTCAAAAATCAACTTAAAAAATGATGCGAAATGTCCAAAAAATGTCGCTATATAAAGCAGTAAACATCATGTGCTGTGCTGAGCGCGCATTATAAGTTTTGGTCGATCTGCTGTTACAATATATGTTTTTAGAATATATGGAACTTTCTCGTGATATCTTTTCTCAATAAATCGAAATGTTATTGACTTGGTTATTTTAGATCAAAGATGGTTGGAATTTCCGGGTTCTCCAAACTAGCCAAAGTACGTCTTGGGAATCGCCTATTTAAACATGGTCCTACTTTCTTTATAAATGTACATATGCATAATTTGTTAGGGCTAAGATGTAGTTAGTCTCCCTCGCGGACGATAACTAACGTCTGCTGAAACGAGCTGCACATTCCATTCCCTTTGTTTTAAGAGCCAATCATATGGCAGTGTTTAAAAGAGTTAGAGCCAATTGGAAGCCGCCTTATTGAGGGTTTAGCTAGTGGGAAAGCCCTTGCACATGGGAATATATTGTTTGGGTCGAGGTTTGGGATGAAATTTGTTTACTTGCGTGGAGATATTTGGAAACTATAGCCTTGAACTTCACGATGTTTACGTAGAATAATATTGTGATCATCTTCTCGCATGTTCTGCAAACAACCGGCGTATATAAAATGTAAAAGCTATGCAATATACGAAATTTTAAATTTTGTTAACAATGACAAACAAGCAATATCGGGAAACTTGAGAACGAGTAAATCAGGATATGTCCAAATGTGCTATTAAATTCTTCCGATATACCATGGCTTCGACGAAAAATTCCGTAAAAGATTAAGCTCTCGTTGCATAATTTAAATTAAAAATGAAAATTAAAGCCCAGCAAATGACTTTCAGACAAGACATAACAAAAATATAAAAAATTCATTGGCTAACGTTTCGTTGTATTGTTCACTATTATTTCAATCACACATATTTTTCGGAAAAAGTTAGAAAAATAATTTTTTGAAAACATGCACGCGGGAAAACAATTCCTGTAATAGCAAAAATATCGGGGCGCCCGAACTTGTTGAAACTATTGACCTGTATCCCCGGCATACCAACACGATTAATGGTTTGATATTCCAGTATGTTTCATGCTTTTTTCTTGTATTCCAACTCCAATACAGTCATTCCTATATTCCGACTGCTTTCACTCACTTAATTAACTGCTGTGGCCGGTTGCTCGAAAGCTGGTTATTTTAATCCTAAGTTAATGTAAAACGAAAAGCGAACTTCCTAACTGCTTATTTATAAGCTACAAATATTATTTGAGGTTTTTCAATAAACGGACGTACAAAAGTGCATTAAAATTTTGAGCATTGCATGCTTTCAACAACCCTCCCTCCTTGGGCTACATAAAGCAACCCCGAGTTTGAATTAAGGCCGGATTTTGGTGGGAATAGTAAGGGAGGTGGGAAAAATTTAGGGGAGGTGTAACTCACGCCCCCCATGGAAAGTTAAGGCTTAGAACGGGCCAAAGTCAACAATTATTATCTGACGTATGCATGTAGTGTACATACAGTATGCATCAATGTATTAATGAATTATGACTGTACAGCTCATCCAATTTCGCCCTTCATTAAAATTACTACAAATTTTCTTTCAAAACATTACATTAAAAGGGTACTTGACACAGAGATGAATAGCTATCACTGTTTCAATTTTACATAAAAACTTTTCAACCAAAAAATGTCAAATTTTTACTTTGGTCTATCATTGAAACTTCCCCAAGAGGAGGTGCATCACATTTCAGGGGAGGTGCAAAAATTCTCTGGGGAGGTGCAAAAATGCTTAGGGGAGGTGTAAAACGATCTCAGGGGAGGTGTAAAACGATCTCAGGGGAGGTGTAAAACGATCTCAGGGGAGGTGCGCACCTCCCCTGAAAACCCGGTCATGGTTTGAATGGAGTCCTGTTCCATTTTCTACACCACCTCTCCACGTTTTTGGCACATGCCTCATGTTTGTATTTTTTCTGTAGTATCTTGTCATTTGGTGCTCCACAAAGCAACACATATAAAATAATTGCTGAAGGTAGAGGCGAGATGGTGTTTGAAACAAGTCAGGTAATTATAAATAACTAAAGACAACTTGTAATCATTTATCATGCTGAAATACTGTATTATGAATTCCTCCTTCGCTGGCCGTAATGAATTCCCGAA